GCGACGTCGACGAAGAAGAAGACGAAGACGGCCGCGACGGTGCAGCAGGCGCTGTCGCAGGACCCGCCGGTGCACTACGTCCGCTTCGCGCTGATGGCCAAGCGCAGCGTCGAGTTCTGGGGCGGGCGCAAGGAGCAGCAGCTGACCCAGCGCCGCGAGGAGGAGATCAAGCTCCGCAAGCGTAAGGACGTGCTCGCCACCCGCACCACCGAGGCCGGCGGCGATCTCGAAGGTTCGTGCGCCTGTGTTTCATATTTATATTTCAGTATTTCTATATATATATAGAAAGAGTGGTATGGTTATGATATCAACTCTATATTTATTATATTTGATGAAAACAGAGCTGCGCATGCTGGAGGCGACGATCGATGCGGGCTACAAGGTGGCCATGCCTCCGAGCCTCAAGGCCGCTCTCGCGCACAAGCTCGGCGGCAAGGACCAGTTCCACTTCAGAAACATCACCGAGGACGAGCTGCTGGAGGTACGCACACGCACCACGCACCACCGCACACGCACCACGCACCACCGCACACGCACCACGCACCACCGCACACGCACACGCACCACCGCACACGCTCATTTGTCCGCGCCGTCTGATCTGTCGTTGGTGTGTGTGTGTGTGTGATGTAAACTGCAGCTGCTTGTGACGCCACGAAGCACCAAGACGGAACAAAACGAAGAGGACGAGGGCGAAAACGACGTGATCGTGGTGGGCGACGAAGACGAAGACGAAGAGGCCGAGAATGGAGAGGAGGAGGAGGACACGAACGCCGCCGAAGCCGACGGTGGAGACGGCGAGGAGTCCGCCCCCATCTTCGTCATCGACACCAAGGGAGCACCCACGTACGTACCCTGCGCGTGTTGCGTGTGTCGCATGTGCACGTTGCGTGCGTTGCGTGTTGCGTGTGCGGTTGGACCTCACGAAGTGTGCGTGCGCCCATAGGCCGAAGCACACGGCGAAGCCCGCTGCCACCGCCGACAAAGAAAAGGCCGCGGCGCCGAGCAGCCTCCAGCGTGACGTGGCTGCCCTCCTCGAGCAGCTGAGCGAGGAGGAAGAAGAGTAGTTGGTTGTAGCCGTTGTCACCGATCGCAAGCAACGACTTCTTCTGTGGCTTTCTCTGATCGTCCGAGTTGGCGCTGGTGAGTGGTGCGCTGCGGGAAGTGCGCTCCGCTCTTTTCGGAGTTGCGCGTTGGCTCGAATCACAGAAAAAGCGGGAAAACAAAATCCAAATAGAGGAGTCCCGTACACAACGGTTACAAACACAAAAGAACACAAAAGAGCTCACGAAGAAGATGGCGTGCCTGAACCCTGTTTGGCCCGGAGCTGGTGGCGCTTGCTGGGAGCTGTGGAAGTGTAGCCCGTACGGACCCTACTACTAGTCTTAGGGCTCTTCCTTTGTCTCTCTGCCTCTTTTTTCTCATCCTTTCTTTTCCTCTTCGCCCCCCAAAGGTGTTGCGGAGACCCTTGCAACTTCAACGACGGCCTCTACTGCTGTACGGCGCCCTTCACCCTTCTTTCTTTCAAAACAAATCCTTTGCACTTCCACCTCGAGGCTTATAATGTTGTTGTTGTTGTTTGCAGGCTTCACGTGGTACTGCTGTACGCCCTGCAACCTCTCCAAGCTGTGGGCGCACACCCTGGAGCAGGACTGCCAGTTCATCAACCACTTCATCCCCACCTTCCTCTTCAGCTGGTACAGCGCTTTGCACTTTGCACCCATGCTCCTTTTTAGGCCAACAGTTGTAACAGTACATGTTTGCGACATATAAGTAGAACAACGCGTGCTAATTTTTCGTTGTGTGCGTGGCTGCTGCAGCATCGTGGGTCCCATCGTCCGCCACAACCTCCGTCTGAAGGCGGGCGTGGGCGAAGACGATGCCGCCAACTGGATCGGCGACTTCTTCTGTGCCTGGTGCGTCAGTCACACACACACACTTTCGCTTCTCCTCCATCGCCTGCCTGCGCGCTCCGTCATGCTAACGTGTAGCGATCAACGGTCGGCTCATCGGCCCATCGGCGCAACAACAGGTGTTGTGGCATCTGCACGGTGGCGCAATTCATGAGGACCACCAGCAAGAGCGATTGGGACTCGCTCAACGACCTGTCCGAGCACGGCCTTCGCATCTACGTTGAACCCATCAAGATGGTCAAGCCCTAGTCAGGCACAATTGGTCCCGGTCAGTTGCATACCAACCAATAAACCTGGAATGCATGGACCTCGCGAGTTCATCACATGCGAGAAGTCAAAGGGAAGAGGTTGAGAGGGATTTCGGGCGAACCTTAAAAAAGTGACCAACAGGGGCACAACTTCTTCTAAATTTCGATAGCGCTCCAACCTGACGGCCGTTGGCTTTTCGTTCGGTTTGGCTACATCAACGTCTCTCCACCACCTACAAAAAGGCTCTGCGAACCAGCATTCATCATTCAACCACAACAACTACAACTACCAACTCTTCAACCAACACCAACTACCACCATCAACATGTCGTCGAACGAGCCCTCTAAGACGTCCGCCTACGGAGACAAGGCCATGGGCGCCGTGAAGGAGAACGCCGGCTGGGCCATGGGCAACAAGCAGATGGAGACCGAGGGCAAGGCCCAGGGCGCCAAGGGCGACGCCCAGCTCGAGGCCGCCAGGGCCGAACAGAAGGCCATCGGCGAGAAGGACAAGCTCAAGGGCAACATCAAGGAGACCGCCGGCAACCTTCTCGGCAATGAGCAGTGGCAGGCCGAGGGCAAGGGCGATCGTCTCAAGGGCGAAGCTCGCGAGAAGATGAACATCTAAGCTCCACCACCGCTACAATGCCCCATTCTTTCTTGTCTGTAGTGACGGTGATCATACTGAGTGTGCATCACACTTGATATCTCGTCCCACATAAAAAGCAACTTTACACTCTACTTTTGTGTCTCCTTGTTTCAATTCAAGCGGTAGTGAAGGTTTGTGGGATCTGGTCAGAGGGTTATTATTTGGCAACACATGCTGGTATACTGCACAAACAACAAATAAATAATTGTAAAGGGGTGTACCCCTTCGCAAAAAAATAAAATGTAAAATAAAATACTCCGGATGTTTGTCTCTCTCTTTCGCTCTTTCTTCCTCTTCGTCGTGTCCACCATTCTCCTTCTTCTTATACATTGATGAGCAAGGAGGGCTGCTCCTGCCTCTTCGCCAGCCACATGACCTCGTACTCCTGGTTTTTGTTGTGTCGAGGATGTGTTCACATCCCACCAGACTGTCAGCAAACGCAGTGTGTATGTATACGCAGATA